TTGGTTGGACCCAGGATGAGTATAGGATCTACTATAGTACCTGGCAGTCATGCTAATACACTGGTGCTACCTGATAGGAGGAGAACTTCTGAAGAGGTAAGATAAGCAGTTTACCTTTCCTCTAAACCTTTTAACAGTAGAGCATTATACTTCCGTGTGCTCACGTTTTCAGCTTTTGTGCTCATGTATCTTTAAATATGCAAATATATGTTGATTTTTATATTGGAATATCAGCCAATTAGATAACAGACAGGAGCAAACTGCTTGAAAAGAGGCATTTGAACTACGTCGGGCTGTTTTGTGTGTTGTTGCTAGTCAACCCCACTGAAAGAAAGTTTCACTTGAATAATTCAACATGTCCACATTTTACTGAAATGGAATAGAAAAGATTCTGCGGATGTTATTGTGCTTCATTATACTGGATCAATTTGAGTCGTAACTGGTTGTTCCCATGTCATATACTGTTAAGAATTTGTGAATAATTCTGCCGCCATTGTTGCTGTTCATTTTGTGTGTGTTTGTTTAAATGAATTTGATCATTTAAATATAACATAAATAAACAGACATGTGGTGGTAGTATGGCTCAAGTTCTAATGTCCTTGGCTTTATCATGGCGTTTAAATAACTGGTAAAAATAAATATATCAGTCGGCTTTCTATAGATTCACGATTATTTGAAAAGTACCATTGCAATGTGATTATCTATCACATGGTGTCAGTGTAATCACAATTTCTGTCACCTCCTGTTTTCACAAAATCTACCGCAGCCACCCCCGTCTAAAATTGTTAGATGGGCAGTACTTTGCAAGCTGGCCAGATCAAACATACGATCAAGAGGTTATTCATTTCACTTTGGATGAAAGTTCAATTTGCGATATCAAATAAGTCGGGGGATTCAAATGAGTGGATATCTGAAGAGATATACCATTTAGAGTTGTCTTCTTTTTCTTCAATCTCTGCGTAATGGAACAAAGACGGCGTCAAACGCGGAGAGCACAGGCCACATGGATCTTATCCGTCATGTTTCTGGTTTCATTTTGGAGCACCGTTTCGGGACAAATAAGATATTCCGTATCTGAAGAAGTTAAAACTGGCACTATTCTTGGAAATATTGCAAAGGATTTAGGTCTGGATAAGACCACGCTGAGAGAGAGGGGGGTCCGTATTGTCTATGGCTCCACAGAGCCTCCTTTCGCTGTAAATCAAGA